TCCGTGTAGGGGCCCAGCTTGCGCCGTGCCAGGTCCGGGTAGGCGACGCCCACTGTCACCAAGTGGTTCGATGTGTGCACCTCCCAGTAGTGCCGCCCAGACTGGAAGCTCTGGGCGCACTGCACCTGCCAGAGCTCGAAGCTGCCGGGCTCAGCCGGGCCTCGGGGCTCTCGCCGGTGCTCCACCCGCCGGTCCTGCCGAGACAGGTGAAGGTGGCGGTTGGCACTCTCCGGGTCGAAGGTCAGATTGCGATAATCTGTTGGGGAGAGAGGGGCTGGAGGTGAGCGGGCAGGGTGCCTGTGCCTGTCCACCCTCAGGGGACAGGAGAGACGGCGACGGACGCTCCACTGATGGCACATTAAACTCCTGCCGGGCACGCTGCCCGCCGAGCGAGCGCTCGATCCTGGCGGCGACCTCTGAGGCAGAACCGTCCGTTAGCCTCATTTCACAGATGAGAACACTGAGGCCCAGAAGGGAAGTGACTTGACGGAAGTGGAAGAAGCACGACCGATCCAGCTTTGTGTGCCTGGACCAGTGATGGCGAACCTATGACACGCCAACTCATTTTTTTGGTTGATTTTTCTTTGTTAAATGGCATTTAAATACATAAAATAAATATCAAAAATATGCATATGTTTTACTGTGGTTGCAAATATCAAAAAATTTCTATATGTGACACGGCACCAGAGTTAAGTTAGAGTTTTTCAAAATGCTGACACGCCGAGCTCAAAAGGTTCTCCATCACTGGCCTAGACCCTCCTTAAACACTATACTGCCTCCACGTGTAAGAGCTGTGCCCCCTGCGACAGGGGTGCCGGGGGTGAGGCCAGACCCAGGGAAGGGCATGGGCAGGGCAGTCATAGCACATGCCACACACACGCGCGCGCACACACACACACACACACACACACACGTGTACATACACATGTGCTCACAGTGCCTGTGTACACGCCCGCATCCACATGTGTGTACAATGCACTCACACGCACACACAGGTGCACACACATGTGCTGGGCCTCCTTACTCTGCCAGAGTTTCCTCCTCAGCGAACAAACCGGGCTTGGGACCAACGCCAGGGCATCTGGGGTCTCTAGGGGGCAAAGCAGTGTTAGGGGGGTGAGGGGGAGGGGAGCTCATGGGGGCTCCACTCCCACCCTCCCACCCTCAGTGAGGGACAGCTGGGCTCAGGGTGAGGGAGAGATCTGGGGTAGCCTTACCGGGGGGACCCAAGTCAGCCGCCTCAGCTGGTGCCCCGCGGGGGTCCCCATTGTCCAGGAGGAGGCCACAGAGCTGGCTCAGAAATTCCTTCAGGCCGTCCAGCTGCTGATCTGCATCCCACTGTGGAGGGCTCAGCGGCCCAAGAGGCCCTGGGGGCGCCAGGAGCTGTGATCCCTGAGTCCCAGGGCAGCTGCAGTGAGCCGGGAGCAAGGGGCAGGCACTCTGGTCCCTCCACCTGACACCCTTTGTCCTGGTACCTGGAGGAAGGTTCGGTCGGACTGCTCCAGGAGGTCCTGGGTCCAGCGGTCAAAGACAGCCGTGGCCTCCAGGTGGCCCCGTAGCCGCTGCTCCTCCTCCTGGGCCTGCGCCAGTGCCTGTGTCTTGGCCACCTCGATGGCCCTCAGTGCCTTGATGCGACGCATCTCCAGGGCCTGCAGCAGGCGGCTGAACTTGCCAGAGACCACGGAAGCCAGGTTGCAGGCCGAGCTCTGGATGGGCACAGGAGGAGCCTAGGGTGTCCAGGGCTGCCGCTGCCCAGTGGGCTGAGGGGTGCGGATATGGGGAGACAGGGTCCCTGGAACCTCTTTCCCCCATTCAGCCCCCCACTCCCTGATGCCGGGAGGCATTTCCAAGGTGGCTCACACCTACTGCCCAGGGTCCCAGGGGCCAGCTGGTGGCTGCCTGAAGAGCACAACATGAAGTGGGGGGTGGGACAGGCAGGCCGGTACCTGGATCTGGCTGCTTCGCTGCTGCAGCTCCTGTAGCTGGCTCTCGACCTGGGTGGCCTGCTGCCGGGTGACTTCCAGCATGGCTCTCAGCTGGGCCTGTGGTGTCCCCCGGGGGACAGGGGACGAGTGACAAGAGGGGGCCAGCATTGGCTGCGAAGTGTCCCCTCCTCGTGCAGCCCCCGGCGAGGCTGACCGGGGGGCACGAGGGGAAGAGGGCACTCCTGTTTGGCGGTGCCCCCTCTGGTCCCCTCAAGGATGTAAATGTAACGTCCTGGAGCAGGAAAAACTCCCGCTGCCGGATCTGCTTCCCTGCACTGGCCAAGCACCTCTCCTGCCACCCACACTGCCAGGCGAGGATGGGTGTTGTCCCCGCTGCCAGACGAGGAAATGGGAGAGAAGTTGACAGTGTGGCCAAAGCCAGCAGATCTTCCTGAGTCCGGCCCGTGTAGGAAGTGGGTCATCTGACTCCCCCAGAGGACACCCAGCAGCCCTACTTCACTTCCCCTCCTTCTAGCAAAATCCCCCTCCACTGGCACAAGTGCCATCGGTTGTACCACCCGTCCCCGTCCCTGTCCCTCCTTGTTGCTGTCACCTACTGGCCCACTGCAGGCCCTCATGCTTAGTGCCCGGTCTGTGCCACCAACAGTATCACCCAGGCCTGTTCCCGAGACCTGGGCAGCCCCGGGCATCACCTCCAGCCCTCCAGCTCTGGCTCCGGCTCCCGACCTCACCTGCACAGCCCTTAGCTTCACCCCCTCAGCTCCTCACCCTGCACCCCTCCCGGGCCTTGTCCCCACCGGGCCTTGTCCCCGGCTCAGGAATCTATTCCTAGCGCCTGCTTTCTGACCACCACCCCTGCACACAGAGAGCGCGGAGGGGCCCCGGGGTGTCACCTCGCGCTCCCGGCGCTCAACGTCCAGCAGCACCCGCTCGTGGAGGCGACAGTCGCCCACGGTGCACGAGCTGCACACGCAGCGGCCGTCGGTGCGGCAGAAGAGCTCGAGCGGCCGGCCGTGCTGCGGGCAGCGCGCGCCCGGGTCGGGGTCCGGGTTCGGGGCCGGCGGCCGGAGGCTCGGCGCGCACCACCTCGACCACGTCGCTCAGTGGCACGTTGCGGCGCAGCTCGGTGCGCGCGGGGCAGAACTCCCGGCACTCGGGGCATCACACGCGGGAGCGCCACCAGTCCCT